TTATATGTCAATATCTAGTATGTGTTGAGAAGTATGGGATTGTGTTTGTATGCTAATATTTCTCGATCAGTTTTTCATCTGGATCCAGACCTGAAAAATTTCGATAAATGCGCAGTATCATTAGGATAGATCACCATGTATTACGGGAAACATATAATTTATTCTCGAAGTTTCCCGCATATACTCAAGCTTTTGCATGTATTAATAAAAAAGACCCCTTGTTGATCCAGGGACACGATCCCAAATGTCTATTATAATTTGGAGTATCTGTTGATCTGATTTTCGTGATGAATCATAATAACGTAATTTTCCCCAAAAATTTATTCCAAAAATTGATCCTTAGACGCACTACAAATCATATAAAAAGGTAAGGTCTTAGTTAGTGAATCCTTTTATCCGCCTTGTGCAAGTAAAGCAAAAAGAAATCAAACAAAATACAAGCTTACCATTATATCATTAATCAATTTATTTCCCAAAGAATAAGAGAAAAAAGGTATGTTGGATTTGATTCTATAAAGACGTCATCATGGGATAATTTATTTCGGAAATCTAGTGTAGAAAAAGAGTATTGGTGTAAAAATCTCGTAGTAGAAATTTACAATAGAGCAAAGAAATAGCTTGATGCTGGGACTCGCATTCAATGGCCTATGATCCGCGTACTCCCTCCCTCTTTGATAGCATCATACGTTTCGTTTGCTTCTACCATTATTTATCTGAAAAATCAATAAAGTTTTAGTTTACAATTCGGTGTTTATTTTTTAATCTAATATCAGATTAGGCTGTTAACTCCTTTCATATGGGATTTGACTTTTGATTGTAGTAGAATGACTGCGCTCAGCCGGATGCTGAAGACATAACTGAAGTGTTGTTGCATGGTGGCAGAACAGCGGACCATTCGAAGAAGTGCGCCGGCTGATCATACAATCTTTTCAACGATATATTACGTCGCCAAACAACTATCCAACGATAGAACTAAGTAAACCCTTGAACATCGATTAAATATCAAAACACGACAGAAATATCCACACAAACTAAATCAGGTCGTTACGTGCTGGCAATGGGGCGGACCATTCAAAGAAGTGCGCCGGCTGACCAAAACCATCTTTGTCAATGAAGCACTTAGAGTGCAAGCATCGCCACGCAACCATTCAACGATGTCACCACCCTTGATACGCCGGTCGTTTTCAGACCGAAACACTGATAGTCTGTGAACGCGTATCTGAAAAAACTGATTTATCAAGTGACTGTGTATCAACACATATAATCACATGATCACATGACTCTCAAGATACTATATATAGTTGTAAATTTCACTAAAGTTTTCACTAAAAAAAAATTTTCTTTACGCGACGTATCACATAATGCTGACTTGGATACGCGATAACCTCAAAGACCTAAAACCGGTGATCTTTTACAAAAAATTTGCCTATTCACACACCTCACGGAAACAAGCCGAAGAAAAATTACGAGAGTTACTTACAGCAATCAAGGATGAGAGAAATACCGTCAATCGGAAGAAGGCTAAGTCTTTGCTAGATAATTTTGAGGTAAATAGGAATTTTACTACTAGATGTCGGCGTTGATACTTTCTTAATTAATTAGCTGTTTGTTCTATAGCCGTGGACGCAGTCAATTGACTGTGAGAAGTATTGGTTGGATGTAGAGACCTCACTCGGCAGGGTATGTTTAGATTTTTTGTTGTTATATAATAATAGATCTCTGGCTAATTACTTGATTTTTCCTTCATAGTTGGCGCACGAAGCGTCAGGACGAATTTCAGCGTACAATACAATTAAAAACTTCACCAGAAAAATCAACGATGAGGAAGAAGCTCTAAATGAATTTCAACCGCCATCGAAAAGAGTCAAGAATGATGATCTCGAACAGCAACGAACTCCAAACCGACAAACATATCCTCCAGAAACTAGTGGAGAGGCACGACATCGTGTTTTCAATGTATACTCTGCAATAAAACATCATTCGCAGTAAATTAACTTTTTCTTCTCAACACCTAGATCTCAGTAAATCAAGATCACGATGATGAACCAGGAAGCAATTCACCACTTCACGACGAGTTTGTAAAAGAGATGTATGTAGCTGATGAAACCGAAAAAGATTACTCTGATACTACAGAATTTGTTGATGACGATAATGACGATGACGATGACTATGTTTATAGCTCGGAATCTTCTTCCTGTGAAGAAACAAAGTTTACAAAGTCAGCTCGTAAGTTGGATAGTGACGAAGAAATTTCATCAGTAAATCAAGATCAAGAACCAGAAAGCAGATCACCAATTCATGAAGAGTTTGTAAAAGAGATGTATGTATCTTCTGATACATCTGATATAGAAGAAACAAAGGTTGCAAAGTCAGCTCGTAAGTTGGATAGTGGTGAAGAAACATCATCAGTATCACCAACTAAACGGGTAAGATTATAAGCTTTTTTAAATTATTCCTTGATAACAAGTCATTTATGTATTCTGTGATCTTCCAGATGAAATTAAATGAAGATACAGATGGTTTAAATGAGGTTAGAGTCAATAAACAGTTATTGGATAATTTTTGCCTTTTTTCAAACATCTTTTTCAAATTTATTTCTTAGAGTGCGAATTTTGATTACGGGCTCAGAAATTACGAAGAGGGAATAATTGTTGATTCTGAGCTGGCCCTTCAAGAAACAGACGAGGAATCAGTACCAACATCTGAGCGCCTCTTTAATGAGGATACTTGGAAGAAATGGACACTGAAATCTAGTTCAGTCGTGGCCGATCTTTTGGATAAATTTGCCCGTAAAAAAGGACATCCTCTTAGGTAGATTATGGATTATTAAGATTATTAACTAGTATTTGTGACTGTGCCAATTCTAATTATTTAATTTTAGACCTGAAGCTTGGAGAATCGTCCGGTGTGGTTTTAAAATTGCGAAACCGAAATGGTGTAGCAATGAGGATTATTCGGAAATTCAAAGGTATACAAGACGTGCAACTATTTCTAGTCGGACGGAAACAATATCTAGGCTTCAAAGACAAGTATGTCTCTCTTTATGCTAGTTCTTTATTTTATTCTTGAAGAATTCTAAAACTTATACTTTTGCAATAGAGGACACTTGAATCATTAGGACAAGGAATAGAGGAAATCGTAAATGGAGACACTTAAAAGGGTAGTATAGTGAAATTATTATGCCTTTACGTTATTTTTTTACTTCGCTTAGCAGAGCTTTTACTAACATTTAACTTTCACTCTATTAAAACATGGAAGAATTCCTTTTAATGAGAGAGCCTCTTGATATCGTCAGAATCTCTACGGCATTATTTGTACGAGTGGAGCAAGGTGAATGGACAGGCGTTCTTGAAAAGGAGGTGAAGAACTTTGATAATGTTTTGGAGCGAGTTTTGGAACGAGCCCCCTCAGCGGATATTGAGCGGATAAAGAAGCTTCGAAGTTTTGGTACTGGAAAAAAATTGGCGAAACGGGTAAGGCGATAAACTATTTTTTCATGATGAATACGTGGATATGATGTATTTTTTTTAGGTTTTCTCGCATATATATATATATTAGTGAATGCGCTGTGTCCGTCGTGATGCTATCACTTCCGCATGGCAGTAACTATTTTTATATATATGCCCAGCGAGCGCGCTTTTTGGCTGACTTACTGCTAGCATTTTGATATTTTTTTTATGAAAACGAAAACCTAATCTGATCCTGCGTAGGAATATTCCACTTTAATCTATCACAATAACATTAAGCCTAAGTCAAGTTAACTATATTTAGGTAGCAACTGCGTTCGAAGATTTATGCTCTCTTACAGGGATGAAAGCTCTGGTAATTGATGCTGAAACATGGCCTGATGACGCGAATGCAAATTTAGAACTTTTAATACGTGATGTTGATCAGCTTAAAAGTAAAAGTGTCGGCTATGAAAAAACTATGTGAGAAAGGATTGGTACGGAATTAGAGAAAGTAAATGTCGAGACTCTTGGATTTGATCATCCAATATGCTCCGGAGTACTTGATATTAAATCAGAACCCTTTACAGAGATGCCTGGATCACTTTGTGATGTTTTTAAGGAACCCTTCAAGAAATACAGGTTAGATTATAATGATACGATAATAGATACTTGTAAAGAGTTTATTCATAATGAGTAGTCAAAAATTAATTTGGATAAAGATTTGCGTGATGTGGAATTTGGAAAATGGTTAGATACTTCTGAAAAGCTTCAAGAAATAACAAAGCGAATACTAGAGTCTTTGTAAGTTTATTTTTTTGTTTGAGATTTCGTCTAATAATATATTATTGCTCATGAATAATGTGTGAATGGGCGAAATATTTTATAGGAATAAAGTTTGGAAATCACCTAAATATGATGCCTATACAAAGAAAGGAAAACCGGTTAATGAAGGATCATATGTCTGCGAAGTACTTGCATCACTAATAAATATAGTAATGAGTGATTTACCTGGAAATCTTATTGTATGGGATATATGGTAAGCTTGTCAAAGGCGCCGTGTATGAACATAACTCTTTTTCTACTACACTATTCACTCATTAGATAATTAATATAATTTTCCAAATAGGGGTGAAGAAGGAAGTTCAGCTAGTACTATAAGAAAAGGATCTCGAAAATTTGCACGAAAACCAGATTATATGACTGTAGCACAGTTAGGTAAAGGTATAGAACTTGAAATAGTATACCTTGAAACTGGTAGACCAAATTCTAACCAAGACAAGCGCCGGCGAGATCATAAAAAATTAGTAAGGTTTTCCAAAGATTCTATTGATACTACTAGAATTATATCGAAGCTTAAAAGAATATTTAATAAATCATCAAAGAAATGGGTGTTATCTATATTTGCCATCAACATCACGGGCGATGTTATAGAACTTTATGCCATGCAAAAAGAATCAGGTATCTACAAGTATTGTCTAATGAAGGAGGCAACAATTCCATTACACTCAACTTCACCAAGTTCTATTTATCCGCTTATATATGCTTTAATGACTTTAAGAACAGCTGTCGCGTGTACGATTCATAAAATATTATATGATTCTGATTTTGGAGATAGTGAACTCAGTTCTGGCGAAATGGCTATAACTGTTTCGACCCCAAAAAATCTATAGAATAGAAATCTATTTTATACATGTAATTTTATGTACTC